CTGACACCTTGGAAGTTTAAAAACAAAGAAAAGCAATATGGTGAAAAGAAAACCTGACATTCAGTCCCATATAAGTTGCTAACTAGCTCTATAATCTTGGGCAGGGTGCTCCATGTATCTCAGCCATACTTTCCCATGTGGAAGTAGGTATTATATATGTCCTATTGTGAGGATTTATCAAGATGACATTTGTGAAGAATGCCTTTATAAACTGTAATTGCTTTGTGAATAAAGATTACTATCTCTGATAGACAGTACCAGTTCTCAGCCACCAGTAACTTGATTCTCCCATCCTGTGTTTGGAAGAAGCACAAATCTACAAAGAGGGCTTGCTCATTCTTCAGCGTGAGTTGTATTCACAAGGCTCACATAATTTCCCCCTGCCTTTGATCCTGTCTGTCTCCCTCTCTCTCCATATTTGAATGGGGTGATCTTTTATGTCACACAGCAATCATATTCTCAATACAGAGTATAACTGTGACTCTGCTTGTGGGAGATCTTCAGAAAAGATGCAAAGCTGCTGGCCAGAAACGTTCTTTCCTTTCCATTTTCTCTTGTACCTCCCCAGTACCTTAAGAATCCTTGGGCTTGGTTATAAACCAGCTAGAAGTTACGATAGAGCCTCAATTCTCTGACCCAAGTCCTTTTCACAGGTTAGCAGTCACAAAATGGAGTTATGAAGTCTCCAAGAGCAGCAGGTGAAAAGGGAAATGGAAATGTGAATGTTGAATTTAGCAGCCCTCAGACCCAGAATATGCTACTCTCTAGTGTCCCTGAGGTGGAGAGTAAGGACTTGCTTTGCTCTTCAGGAGTGTGATTATCTCTCGCTGCTTGCAGCTTTTTCACATTAAGACCCTTTGAAATATACTTAGGGACACATATATGTGACTTTGTCAAGTGAGAGCTTTGGGCTTGGGAGGATTCTAGCAGGTTTTAATCTAATTTACGCCTAATCTAACACGACTGAGAAAGGGGGTGTCTTTGGTTTTACTTTCAAATATGTGGTGGTACATCTTTAGAAGCCAGATGTGGTTAATCAGACTTGTCTTCATGGTACCTTTGCTTCAAGTGGCTTAATAAATAACCCAATAATTCAAATGATGAATAAAAATTCTAGTGTGTGAAGGTGGTAGGTAATAGACAATTAAAAGTGGTCAACCGGGCTTCCCTGGTGGCGCAGTGGTTAAGAGTCCGCCTGCTGATGCAGGGGACACGGGTTCGTGCCCCGGTCTGGGAAGGTCCCACATGCCACAGAGCGGCTAGGCCTGTGAGCCGCTGAGCCTGCGCGTCCAGAGCCTGTGCTCCGCAACGGGAGAGGCCACAACAGTGAGAGGCCCGCGTACCGCAAAAAAAAAAAAAAAAGTGATCAACCAAAAAGTTACAAAATCATCCTACCCACTTATTAATCCAACTCCCCACAGGTTGTTTCCTTAGGAGACACTGGCATATCTTTATGAAATCTGAACAAAAGACCTGACAGGAATGGGGAGGAGTACAGTATAAGTCACCCCTGTGCTTGGTACATCTGGGCAGCTGCTGTATAACACCTGGGGAATCAAATCATAAATCAACCTGATTGTTCTCATTCGAGTTTTTTGTGTCTGTTTATTCTTTTTTTCTTAGAATTTTTTAAAAAACATATTTATTTATTGATTTGTTTTGGGCTGCATCGGGTCTTAGTTGCAGTACGTGGGATTCTCCACTGCAGCACACAGGCTCCTCATTGCGGGGCATGGGCTTCTTTCTAGTTGTGGTGCATGGGCTCAGTAGTTGTGGGGCGTGGGCTTAGTTGCCCCGAGGCAGTGGGATTTTAGTTCCCCCACCAGGGATCAAACCTTTGTCCCCTGAATTGGAAGGCAGATTCTTAACCATTGGACCACCCGGGAAATCCCGTGTCTGTTTATTCTTATTAAAACAGTTGGCTCCTGGGCTTCCCTGGTGGCACAGTGGTTAAGAATCTGCCTGCCAACGCAGGACACATGGGTTCGAGCCCTTGTCTGGGAGGATCCCACATGCCGCGGAGCAAATAAGCCCGTGCGCCACAACTACTGAGCCTGCGCTGTAGAGCCTTCGAGCCACAGCTACTGAAGCCCGTATGCCTAGAGCCCGTGCTCCACAACAAGAGAGGCCACCGCGATGAGAAGACCCCATGCAGCCATAAATAAATTTATAAAAAATCAATTGGCTCTGTTCTTCAATAGTGATGGGTTTAACAGCCATTTTGGATTCTTTAGCAGTGGTGTCTGGTAGCCTCATGTCTAACCATGTGCAGACTGAAAAGAAAGGGCCGCCTTAGTTGTAGGGGGCTCTGAGGAATAAGAAATCAGTGGTTAGGACTCTGCACTTCCGTTGCAGGGGGTACGGGTTCAATCCCTGGTCCGAGAACTAGGATCCTGAAAGCCTCGTGGTGCTGCCAAAAAAAAAAAGAAATCATGCATGCCTTTGTAACACATGAATTGAAGGTAATCTTCTCAAATTGATATGCTGTGAGTACTCCTAGCAGGGCGAGTTCCCTAGCCTTGACAGAAAGTCATCAACAGCTTCTGGAACATCATATTTGTTATCTGATAAGTATAACGTGCTCCTTGCCTTAGGAATTCCTGAGTCTACTGATGCCTCCAAGTGGTACAATCAGAATTTGCAATTGACTGCAATTCACAGTAGTGCCTTGTTCTGATGGCACTGTTCACTGTTCAAATGGCAACCCACATGTTTTATGGACTGGGTGTACAGGTGTACACGACAACAGTACCTTCCTCTAGAGCCACTGTGTGCTAAAGCACTCCAGTCTTCCAGGGATAGTTGGATCCATTCAGTCTTTTTTTCGTTCCATAACTGCTTATTAAGCTCCTTTTCTGTACCAAGTACTGAGCTTGGTACTGATAATAAAAGACCAGCAAGATTTAGCCTGGTTGATCAGATTTGGCCCAGCATTTGAAAACTAACACTAAGCGCTGTCATAAAGATACAGGTTCTGACATGCAGTGACCATTCCCTTATGAAAGCTTAGTCTTTCAGTAGATTGAAATGGGGTGTGAAGTATTATCACCTGACAAGCAAGTAAGATGAAGTGAGTAGCTAATCTGATGAATGAGTGACTAGTCCTTTTCTAGCACTTAGGGCTCAAAATACAGGTATTGAGCCCTAACTATATCCCATGCTAAGCACTTGACATGTATTAATTTACTTAATCTTCATAACCACCTTATGAAGTAGGTACTGTTATTCCTACTTTACAAATGAGGAAACTGAAGCACAGAGAAGTTAAGGACCCTGCTGATGAAGGTCATGCAGTGGAGTCAGGATGCCAGTTTAGGGAACCTGACCCAGAGTCCATATTCTTAAATGACATGATATACTGCCTCTGGGTGGAAGGGTATCATCTTGACCAACCTCCTGTATAGGTAGAGCTTGGCAGAGTGATAATCCTCCGACCCTCCCTGTCTGCAGAGCTTTTTCTCTTTCCTGGATTGGCTCCTAGAGCAGATTACCTATCCCTAAGAGTGAGCAGGAGTTGCCAAATGCAGCAGGCAGTCCCTTATCTACAGCCCCAGAAGTGAATCTGCCTCTCCCTTTCACCAGCTGGGTAACCTTGCCTCTCTGAGCATGTTTCGTCATCTGTAAAATGGAGATAATGATCATGGGATCATTTAGGGGTTAAATGAGATAACATACTTAACAGTTTCTGGCTCTGAGTAAGCACTTAAAAAATGTTAGCAAATTTTTATTATCATTGTCCTCTAGCCTTGAGAACAAACCACGAAACAGTTGATTCTCAGAGACCAGATTCTAGGACTTAGGTAGGTGGGCAGGTTTTTTTTTTGTTTTGTTTTGTTTTCACAAGACAATAATTTTATTCTATGTATTTCTCTTGACTCTTTTGGTGTGAAAAGCAGAGAGGTAAAGCATTATTTGACAGATGTATGGATTCAAGCAAGAAACTGAGGTCCAATTGCAAAGAAATGCCTTGTATAACTCAGAGCCCTGTCTGAGGAGACACAGAGGACCCTAGAGGGCGGAGAATGAACACAGCGCAGGGGCTAGTTCCAGAGTCGCATCCTCGGTTAGTTCACTTGCAAGTGTGGGTGAGGGTCCCTTGTCAGTAGGCAGAGATTTTTTTTTCCTCTGCTCTAACACATATCTGCTGTCTAGTGTTTATTAAACAAAATTTATTTTTTTCTTGGTGTGAAAGAATTCGTGTCTTGTCCAAAATGCAGAGGCAAAGGAGCTCTGTAACTGCAGGCTTGTTGAACCCCTTTTCCCACCTGTTCTGGTGCCAGGCTTTCCCAAAGTGCTTATTTGCCAATGGTTGCTCCTCAGTTCTCATGGCCAGCTCACTCTGAAGGCTCCAAACCACAGTGATGCTGCTGCCACCACCGCCACTACCACCACTGCTGCCACCACCAGCCATTCAGTTTCCTGCTCTAAGGATGTGACCTGCCATGAAGCTTTCACATTCCTCTTTTCTTCCTGTCTTCGGTGTTGTACCTCTTTCTTTTGGTGCTTTTGCCATGCAGCAGTATTGCAAAAAAAGTTTTCAGGCACCAAAGTTAAGAGCCCTTACTACCTCACCAAGGGGATTTGAGTTAGCTATGGAAAAGAAGATAATTGAGAGGGCTCCTGTGCCTCTGTGCTTCAGAAGGAAAGAGTTTGCTTCTTGACAGTGTGCCAGCTCCCTAGCCAGGTGGGGGACGTGCTGGGACTACATGACCTCTGGAGGAGTAGACTGGGCCTAACCTGCCCAAAGACAGCGCCCCAACCCACAGGAGCCAAGGCTGAAGACTGATTTCACCTTCTCCCATTCCCTTTCCCTAAGCTTAAGCTTGCTCTGCCACACTGTCTCAAGTCTGTGGCTTATAACAGCCATTTCCTTTTGCTGGTGAATAAGCCCACTCTTTGTAAAATGTTTCAACTTAGGGACTGGAAAGGCTCTCTGTGCTTTCCTGTCTCTTTGTTTCTCCAAAGATTAATGTTAATGGCTTCTGTCTTTGTCTTTACAGGGAACTCTAATGATCCATGACAAAGAGGTCACCCTTGAGTATGTACCAAGCCTGGATTTTTGGTACTGCAAACGGGTAAGTGCCAAGAATTCCTCTCCTTAGAAGTAAGGATCCAGCATCACAGCTCCTCCATGTCTACAGGAATGCTGCCTGGTGTAGTATGCATTGCCAAGGGCAAAGCTCTTCTTCCTTGGTTCACTTCAGATGAACTGGAGGTCAGGGCAAGATCATCTATAATTTCTGCTTCCCAGCTACTGCCTGTGGCCATAGAGGGTTCTGGGCCTGTAGTTGGAGACCTTTTCCCAAGGACATATGCCATGCTTTCTGTTGATTACGAACTGAAAGAAAAACAGTCCCTTGACTTATAACCTCTCCCCAGTTACCCTTCCTGGGGTAAAGAGGATTTATTAGTGTTTGGAATGATGTATATAAAGAGGCTGGTTCTGTGAGAGATACACATTTTTTTTGGATATTCAGGGGTTTCCAAGGATATAGAACTTTAAGTACCATGGTATTTTTCCTCTCTTCAACTTCATATTGTTCTTGAATGGCATATATAAAGATTTTAGGCTATACTCTTTTTAGAAGTCCAGTTTGATTGCAAATGAGCATGAAAATATATTTTTTCATTGCTACTGTTTAGTTTCAAAAATAAGTTTGAAAAATCCATATAAAGTTTCTGAACCAAGATTCATTAAAAGTGTTGTAGAACTTGATAAAATTAAGTAAAAGTTTTAGTTTTACATTTTGGAATATAATTTGGATAGCTGTGATTGTCATTGACCAAAGTGTTCATAGTTCATGGATGTAGTACCTTAAGCTGTCAATTTAGGAAAACATTTAACTATTTTTTAAAAGGTGATGAAATACACATAACATTAAATTTACCATTTTAACCATTTTAAAGCATATAATTCAGTAGCCTTAAGTACATTCACAATGAAGTGCAATCATCAACACTGTCTAATTCTAGAACTTTTTCATCATCCTAAAAGGAAACCCCATATCTATTAAACAGTCTCTCCCCATTCCCCTTTCCCTCAGTTTCTGGAAACCACTATTACTATTCTGTTTTTTATCTCTATGAATGTACCTATTCTGAACATTTCATGTAAGTAGAACCATATATTATGTGACCTTTTGTGTCTGCCTTCTTTCACTTAGCATGTTTTCAGGGTTCATCCATGTTATAGTGTGTATCAGTACTTCATTTATTTTTATGGCTGAATAATATTATATGGATATACCACATCTTGTTTATCTGTTCATCAGTTGATGGACATTTGAGTTGTTTCTACTTCTTGGCTATTGAGAATAAGACTGCTATGAATATTCATGTGTAAATTTTTGTTTGAAAACCTGCTTTAAGTTCTTCTGGAAGTGCCCAGGAGTAGAATTGTTGGGTCATATGGTACTTTTCATTTTTTAACTCTTTGAGGAACCAATAAACTGTTTTCCACAGACAGCAGCTGTACCATTTTGCATTCCCTCCAGCAGTGTCTGAGGGTTCCAATTTCTCCACATCCTTGCCAACATTTGTTATATTCCTTTTTTTTTTTGATAGTAGCCATCAAACTATTTCACAACCACCAGCGGGTGTGAAATAGTATCTCATCATCATGATTATGATGATGATTTGCATTCCCCTAATGACTAATGATGTTGAGCATCTTTTCTTATGTTTGTAGCCACTAGTATATCTTCTTTGGAAAAACGTTTATTCAAGTCCATTTTTGATTAGGTTGTCTTTTTTTTTTTTGGAGTATAGTTGATTTACAATGTTGTGTTAGTTTCAGGTGTACAGGAAAGTGAATCAGTTATGCATATATTTATATCCACTCTTTTTTAGATTCTTTTCCCATATAGGCCATTACAGAGTATTGAGTAGAGTTCCCTGTGCTATACAGTGTAGGTCCTTATTAGTTAATCTATTTTATATATAGTAGTGTGTGTATGTCAATCCCAATCTTCCAATATATCCCTCCCCTCTGTCTTCCTGTTAAGTTGTAAGAGTTCTTGGGAATTCCCTGGTGGTCCAGTGGTTAGGACTTGGTGCTTTGACTGCAGTGGCAATCCTTAGTCAGGGAACTAAGATCCCACAAGCTGTGCAGTGTGGCCAAAAAAAAAAAAAAGTTGTAAGAGTTCTTTATATTTTCTGGATGTTTATCCCTTATCAGATATGTGATTTGCAAATATTTTCTCCCATTCTGTGTGTTGTCTTTCACTTGCTTGATAGTGTCCTTTGATACACAAGGTTTTAATTTTGATAAAGTCAAATTCATCTATTTTTTTTCTTTTTTTAAAAAAATTTATTTATATATATATTTATTTTGGGCTGTGTTGGGTCTTTGTTGCTGTGCACGGGCTTTCTCTAGTTGCAGTGAACGGGGGCTGCTCTTCATTGGGATGCGCGGACTTCTCATTGCGGTGGCTTCTCTTGTTACAGAGCGCGGGCTTCAGTAGTTGTGTCTCACAGGCTCTAGAGCGCAGGCTCAGTAGTTGTGGTGCACGGGCTTAGGTGCTCCACGGCATGTGGGATCTTCCTGGACCAGGGCTCAAACCTGTGTCTCCTGCATTGGCAGGCGGATTCTTCACCACTGCTCCACCAGGGAAGCCCCTATTTTTTTTTCTTTTATTGCTTGTCCTTTGGTGTCATGAAACCATTGCCAAAGCCAAGGTCTTGAAGACTTATCCATATGTTTTCTTCTAAGAAATTTATAGTTTGGGCTTTTATATTTAGATATTTGGTCTATTTTGAGTTAATTTTTGTTCCAGGTATGAGGTAAGGGTCCAGTTTCATTCTTTGGAATGTGGATATTCAGTTTTCCCAGCACCATTTGTTGAATTAACTATTATTTCCCCGTTGAATGGTTTTGATACTATTGTTGGAAATCATTTGACCATAGATGTATAGGTTTATTTCTGTAGACTCTCAGTTTTATTCTGTTGATCTATATTTTTATCCTTATGCCAGTACCACACTGTTTTTTGTTTTTGTTTTTTTGGCTGCGTTGGGTCGTCGTTGCTGCGCATGGGCCCTCCCCAGTTGCAGCGAGCAGGGACACTCTTTGCTGTGGTGCGGTGGCTTCGCCTGTTGTGGCACACAGGCTCTAGGCACGCGGGCCTCAGCAGTTGCAGCATGTGGGCTCAGTAGTTGTGGCTCATGAGGGCTCAGTAGTTGTGGCTCGTGAGAGCTCAGTAGTTGTGGCGCACGGGCCCAGCTGCTCCACGGCATGTGGGATCTTCCCAGACCAGGGCTCGAACCCGCGTCCCCCGCATTGGCAGGCATATTCTTAACCACTGTGCCACCAGGGAAGCCCACCACGCTGTTTTGATTACTGTAACTCTTTAGTAAGTTTTGCAGTCGGGAAGTGTGAGTCCTTCGATTTTGTTCTTCTTTTTCAAAATTGTTTTGGCTACTCAGGGTCCCTTGCAATTTCATATACATTTGAGGATCTGCTTTTCCATTTCTGCAAAAAAGGCCATTAGAATTTTGAGAACATTTTGCATTTTAATAGTGATTGCCTCTACGTCTTAGAATTATGAGTGATTTTCCCCTGTCTCTTAAACTTTCCATTATTAGCTATAATGCACACGTATTGTTTATTTTATAATCAGAGATGGAGGGAGCTAGCATTAAAGGGAAAGTTTTGAACTCTATTTTCTGTTAACCAGCAGACAAAAATGTTAATATCTGACATCAGAATTATATAGCTGTTGCCAAGGCTGTTGCTTGAAAGAACAGAATAGCTTGGTTAAATTGTTCCCTAAAATGGCAGGCCACTTGTTCAGCTGTTTCAGAGGTACTTTGTAATTTTTGTGCTTTTCTTGAAGAGTTGAGGTGCCAACCCTGCATATGTGATCTTTGGCCTGATGTGAAATGCACTGACTTTTAAAAAAATTCATAGCAGTATTACTCATAATAACCAAAGAGTAGAAACAACCCAAATGCCCATCAACTGATGAATGGATAAACAAAATGTGGTATAGCCATACAGTGGAATGCTATTTAGCAGTAAAAAGGAATGAAGTACTGATAGGTGCTACGACATGAATGAACTGGGAAAAGACTATGCCAGACGCAAAAGATTAATTCTCTAGGACTGGGGGTGAGAATGGGAGATGACTCCACCAGGTTTCTTTTGCGGATGAAGAAAATGTTCTAAAGTTAGATTATGGTGATGATTGTATTATAGATATGCTAGAAATCATTGAATTGGACACTTAAAACTGATGGATTTTATGGTATTTAAATTATACCTACTCAGGTTAGGATCCTGATTCCCCCACTTACAGCTCTGCTGTACAGTCATCCAATGGTATCTGTGGGGGATTGAGTCCAAGACCCCCTGCTGATATCAAAATCCACAGATGCTCAAGTCTCTTATATAAAATGATGTAGTATTTGCACATAACCTAGGCACGTCCTCTCGTGTACTTTAAATCATCTCTAGATTACTTATAGTAGATAATACAATGTAAATGCTATGTGAATAGCTGCCGGCATGTGGCAAATTCAAGTTTTGCTTTTTGGGACTTTCTGGAATTTTTTTCCCCGAAATATATTTGATCTGTAGTTGGTTAATCTGCAGATGTGGAACCTGTGGATATGGAGGGCCAACTGTAATAACAAATAGCCCTCAAATCCTAGTGATTTACATTGACAAACATATTCTTTGCTCACATTACATGTCCAGGGGCTGTGGGCAGTTGCTGCAGTTCGTCTTGGCGGCTCAGTCTGGGACCCAGGTGGAAGGAGTTAGTCCCGCATCGGGACTCCTGGCCAAGGGAAAGAACAGGACGCTCATCTACACAAGCATTGGCTCTTAAAGCTTCTGCCAGACCTGTGTAGATCACGTTCACTCATGCTCCATTGACCAAAGCAAGACATGTGGCAAGGCTGACAGTGAAGTCACTCACTCTACAGGGAGGCACCACAGTCACTTGACAGTGGGCAGGGCTGTGTGTATGATCTGCTTACAGAGAAGGGAACAATAAAGTAATTGACTTTAATGACCTTGCTCAAGTGATTTAACCTCTCCAGGCCTCAGTTTCATTATCTACAAATTGGGGAGATAATAGTTGTTTGGATCAGCAAGTGACCACATGTAAAGTAAAGTAAGCCCAGTACATGCTGTGTGCTGTTTAATCATTAGCTGCTGCTGCTTTTATTATTATTCTCTCCTTCTCCATTTGGTATTCTTTTACTCAACCTACAAGGCCCTACTCATAGAATCCTTTTCATGGTTCCTGCTCTTTTGGTTTCTTACCAGTCAACTCTGCCCTTCTAACACTCTGAGCTCAGTGGCAAAAGTTCAGGTTTGGGGCTGTGTTTGGGGTTGGGCAATGATAGACTTGCCTTTTTGTTCATAGGTTCAGATAAGAAGAACTACATTCACAATGCAAAGTGTCTCTTCCCTTGTTCTAGGGTAGTGAATTAACTTTTCCTTTTAACATCCTCAGAATAGCTGCCAGAGACACTACTTATGGATCTTCCTCCTCCTTCTGTGCCCTTTTTAAAATCAGTGTTTGAGAAAGGAATTGATCACTGGATTCTTCTCAGTTCCAGCCAAGCCTGAATAGGGTTGTCATAACCAGTTCAGGATCAAATTTTGGATGCAGACTGAGTGGTAACAGCTTTAGGGCAGTATATCCTATAAACCACTTAATAGTCCAGTTTTCTTAGTCAAGTTTACTTCCTGTAGAAATCCTTGTCCAGAGCAAAAGCATTTGGGGCTGCTCCAAGGTCCATATACCCTGTTAGAGGCAGCTCTCAAACAGCAGCTCATCAGAGTCCACGTCAGCTCTGATGAGTGGAAGACATCAGACTGATTAGGTTTTACCGTGATCTGGGATATGGCTTATTTCTTTCATTTTTTGGCAGTTGTTGCTGTGTTGGATATAAGTAAGATTTAAAAAAAAATTTTTTTTTGGTCAATTTGAATTCTTTTCCTTTCCTTGTAGTGTAAGGCCAGCACTGGTGGACACCGATCTTCATGTTCATTCTGCAAGTGCCCAAGGGAAGGTGAGTGGTGGTAGAGATGGAGGTGGTAGTTTTTATTTTGTGCACTGAGCAAAACAAATTTCATGCTTTCCTTGGCTTCAAAGAGTGATCATCCCTAAATACAAGATGATCTGTAAAGCTCTTAAAAGTGCAGTGTGATAGCTAACTTCGTGTGACCTGTTAGTAAATCGTTTTGGATCTCAGAGTTCTGCCAGGGGAATGAGATGGGTTATGGGCTCCTTATCCATAACACAGCTGACCAGATGTCAGTAGTATTGTTACTCAGAATACATTTTAAGGATATTAGATTGAGAAAGAGTCTACATAGCATTAGTCCATGTGGACACCCCACCCACCCTACCCCAGCTTCTTTGAAGTTATTGGGAATAATTTGCTATTGTTATTATTTTCTCATTTACGTTCTAAACATTTGAGGATCTTCAACACAAAAACATTTGTTAAAGTAACAGTAAAAATATAAACAAGAGACAATAATCAGGATTGAGGGTTTGTGTTATTTTTATAGAGTAATAAACCTAACAGCTTCTCAGTAACTTGGTTTTAAAGTTAATTTCTCCTGAGAACCTGTAGGTAAACAACCTTGAAGAGTCTGTCAAAGGCATCTGTAACAATAGTCCTATAACAATGACTGTTATGTGCCTCTTTCTGATATTATTCTGTAAGGAAAGCTAGTGCATGACCATAAAATACAGTTCAGTGCTGGGATCCTGTTAGTCTTCTGAAAGATCTGTTTGTTCCAAGGTTAGAACTTAGCACGCCTACAAAGAATTCCTTAGCTGGGCTTTTGGCCTATAGTGGAGATTCTACTCTCCAGTGAGGGCTGTGAAGCAGGTGTTCTGAAAATCTTTGGGGAAGGCTCTACATGCTCTAGAGACCAAACCAGCATATGGGAAGGTGAGTAAATAACTTCCCCATGGACAGGTTGGAGATTTTTAGCTTGTTGTATTACTTCAATTAGGCAAAATTGTACTTTTTCCCTCAAGAAAGACTTCTTTCTCAGTCTACTCTAACAAATGAACAGATGGTTTATAAAAACCCTTGAGCACCATACCACTAAGATGGCTGAAACAACTTTAACATGGAAACATACATAGCAAGTATTCATTGGTTGCCTGTCACTGCTGTTAAGTAATCTCTACACTGCTCCCATAGAATGTCTTTTTGAGCCTCATGACTTCCTCTAAGAATGAATTAATTGCAGAAATACCTCCAATTAACTGGACAAATTATCCTGCTTTAGAAAGAGATTTGAAATGAGTCATTTATATTTTGAAGGACATTTGCCCACTGTAATTATTTGCATATAAATGAGCTGTGTGCAGGTAGGTCTCTTCTTAGCTTCGCCGGAGAATAGGGTGTCTGGTCTTACAGAATTTGAGCAGCTATCTTAGTACCGTAACACTGGAAGAAACAAGGCCCCTAGCCATACACGTTTGAGATAAGTGTTTCTAGCAAACTTCTAGCAAGGGCCATATCTTTGGTAATTTTGTCCCCAGATCTGTTCTATCATTGGTTATAATAATAAAGATCAGGGTCTCATGAAAGATTTAAATGTTGGGGAAGTGATAGAAAACTCGTAAGATTAAATTTTTTAAATACTGGGTAGTTTCTTCTGTTAACTATTTTATATGCTGTCTTATTAGCCATGCTTAAAGTCTGTCAGAGGACTTTTTTGTAGGTATTTCTTTGACTTTTAAAACTATTCCAGGGAATTCCCTGGTGGTCCAGTGGTTAGGACTTGGTGCTTTCACTGCTGTGGCCCAGGTTCAGTCCCTCGTCGGGGAACTAAGATCTCTCATGCCACGTGGTACAGCCAAACAAAACAAAATAAAAGCATTCCAGTATGAGTATTTGGTGGCAGGTAAGGAGGAATCACAGTGTTTGGGGGGATAAAACCTGTTGGAGATTCTCTTTCTGTTCTGCTCCTCTAGCGACAGAGGCCAAGCAAGAATTAATAACCTACCCTCAGCCTCAGAAAACATCCATACCAGTACCATCAGAAAAACAACCCAGCCAACCAAGGTCAGCTGATAAGGAATCTGAACCCAAGAAGCGGGAAGAAGGACAAGAACCACGCTTGGGACATCAAAAGAGAGAAGCAGAAAGGTATCTCCCTCCTTCGCGGAGGGAAGGGCTCACCTTCCGAAGAGACCGAGAGAAGGAGCCATGGTCTGGGGAGACACGCCAGGATGGGGAAAGCAAAAGTAAGTGGTTTGTTGGGGCATGTACCAGACCGTGACCACTGTGGTTGGAACATAGATTGCTTGTGTTGTGGCTCTGGACCAGCAGCTTCCTACACCCTAGTACAACTGCTCGGCCTGATTGAAGAGGCTCATGCTTTTCCCGGCCTCACTGAAGTAATCTATATCCTCCAAATAGCAAGTTGCTATTCAGATGCAGCAAAGCATAACTTTAGATATCTAAGTATTGGGGAAGAAAAATATGAAGTATTTGACTAGCATTTTGTTATAGAACCAGCCTTGGTAGAGCAGGGTAACATCTGCAGTCATCTGCAGTAAAAAAAAAAAATACACACACACACACACACACACACACACACACACTCTCAGGCTCTGAGGACTTCAAAAATGTAAACCTTTCTCTCTCTTTCCTTTCTCCTCTCCCATTTGTGCTTGGTTTGTTCAGCAATCATGCTAAAACGCATCTATCGTTCCACTCCACCTGAGGTGATAGTGGAAGTGCTGGAGCCCTACGTCCGCCTTACTACTGCTAACGTCCGTATCATCAAGAACAGAACAGGCCCCATGGGCCACACCTATGGCTTTATTGACCTTGACTCCCATGCGGTGAGTCGTAGTTATCCGTCACCACCACCCCCACCCCCGGATCCCTCACCTCCTACTACCTCAGAACAGCCTAGGGATGGCTGGCTATAGAAACCTCCAGAAGGTTTGAAGGACTTTAATCTTGGAATTCTCATTTGCTACTTGGTACCATAACCCCTCTTACTCTTTTCTTGGGGTTCATTCAGATGAAATGACTGCCCTTGAAAGTTGGAACTCTGAGTGGTTTTCCAGATCCATTTTTGTCTTGTGGCATGTACAGTTTCCAGTTAAAATAAAGTGACAGCTTAGTCACTTGTGGAAAATCTGAGGACTAAACCTTTTCAAGATTTTAGTGAATTTTCTGATTTCTTAAAATCATTTTGCCTGGCCACACACAGTTTTATGTTTGATGGAAACAGAGCATTTCCTCTTTTTCCTCAAAGTGTTGCTTTAATAGATTTCTTGTGGCTTGAAGTTTTAGTTGTGGGGCCCTTTTCTATGGAAGTAATGTGAGGATAGCAATGAAAATCATTGATATTTCTTAGATTTCACAGGATAGCAATGAAAGTCATTGATATTTCTTAGATTTCATGCTCAGAAATCACAAGAGACTTTGTAAACTGAATCTGATGCAGTGACAGTTGCAGACTAGAAGAGGATTTGAATTTCTGAAATTTATACCAAGAACTGATGTCTACTCTGACCATTATTCTGATCAACCCTTCATTAAGAGTTGCCTGTTTTTGCCAGTGTGCTCTTAGTATTACAGTTATGACCAGAACATAATGTTTAGAAATTTTTCTTTTTTTTTTGTGGTACGCGGGCCTCTCATTGTTGTGGCCTCTCCCGTTGCGGAGCACAGGCTCAGTGGCCATGGCTCACGGGCCCAGCTGCTCCGGGGCATGAGGGATCTTCCCGGACCGGGGCACAAACCCGTGTCCCCTGCATCGGCAGGCGGACTCTCAACCACTGCGCCACCAGGGAAGCCCTAGAAATTTTTCTTTTGAGAAGGAAAATCCATGTTCAGTTTTCTTTCAAGGGACATGTCCTTTTCTTTCTTTGGGTTCAAATGAGTCTTTGCTTCCCCAGGAAGCTCTTCGCGTAGTGAAGATCTTGCAGAACCTTGATCCACCATTTAGCATTGATGGGAAGATGGTAGCTGTAAACCTGGCCACTGGAAAACGAAGGTAAAGCAGAGGGGTGCTACCCCCACTCAGGTTTTTGGGAGGAAACTCTTATTCCTGGCTGGAGAGACAGATAGTAAAACGTGGTGCTTTCCCAGTATGAGTTGCTTCAGGTACGTGTGTATGTTTTCTTTTTCTGAAGCTTGCCTTGTTCTGACTCTAGGTTTTTGTTTTTCCCTTTAAATAGCAGTACTAGGTACTTCTGTTTTTTCCCTCTTGATTCTCTGGTATCTTTGGGTCCCAGGTGATGGTACAGTCTTGGATGTGCAGGGAAAAAATCGCAATATATCCTTGCCCCTTGGAATCCTAAGAAAATGCTGTCTTGACTTTGTTCATACCCCCATAGTGCTGGGAAATCTTATTCTTCTTTACTCCTTCATTCATCTTGACCCAGGAGTGGTAACTGGGAAATGGCTGCATCAGAGAGGCAAGCTTACAGGGATGGGGCAGATCTTGCTCTGGCATCCTCAACTCAGTTGCTGTTTTGCTTCAGCCGATAGCTTTGTAGGAGTCCCACTGCCCCTCCCCTCGGGAGTCTCTGCATCACCAGACTTGCTTACTGTCTGGGTTGGTTCCTTTCCATACAAAAGAGGGAAAAGAGTTTCTCAGCAAATCTGTAGGGTTGGGCACTCCTCAAGTGGCTTTTGGTAGCAGGCTCAAGACATGTTGTATTGTTTGTTGCAGAAATGATTCTGGGGACCATTCTGACCACATGCACTACTATCAGGTAGGCTTCAGCAGTTGGGGGGTGCTCTATTAAAATCCTCAAGTGACTGAAAGAGTGATCTTAAATTTTCTCTAGTGGGTAATTGTTAAGGTAAATGGCTATCAGAAGTTCCATAATTTTAACTTGTCTTTCTGTGATAGGGTAAAAAATATTTCCGAGATAGGCGGGGAGGTGGCAGAAATTCAGACTGGTCTTCAGATACAAATCGACAAGGACAACAGTGTGAGTGACCTTTGTCTTATTTCTATTGTTCTTTTTGGCTTGACTACTCATTCATTGAAATCCTTATGGTCACAAAGTTGGCAAGAGATGCAGTTGACTAGGGGTTATGTCTCAGAGAGCATCATCTACAGGTTCTGTACTGTTTTGGGTTGGCCAGCCTCGTTCTTAGATTGTTCTTGATGAGTCCCCAGCAAGGGCTTCATTGGACAGGGACTAACACTGGCTCTGGTTTTATTCCCTCTAGCTTCATCTGACTGCTACATATATGATTCTGCTACTGGCTACTATTATGACCCCTTGGCAGGAACTTATTATGACCCCAATACCCAGGTGAGTTTTTGGCTTTGTTATTTTGTCAGTGATTCTTTTGAGAGAAGTACCTGTGATTTGTTACTTTGAAGGTTTTATTCCCTGTATTCTCTGGTTGCTCATTACATGAAAAGTATAAAAGTTTATATAAGCTGAATATTTCTCCATTCAAGGCAGCTGCTCCACTGTTGTACTATGTGTACCTCATGTCTACTTCTTGTTTTAAAAAGTCCAGGTTTTATGTTGAGTTATATTTATTTAGGTGGATTTTAAAGATGATAATCTTCATGTTAACTGTTATACATATAGAAAATCAATGCGTTGTGGCATTACAGGCAAGAACAGTGCTGTTCTTGGAAAAATGGGCAGTGAGTGGTCTGGCTACATCCTGGCCCCTGAAGTGGAGTTTTCGATTGTTTGATATGGTCTCTTCTTAGGCTTGAGGGAGAGAGCTGTTCTTTCCCTCAGAAGGGAACTGTGCTCCTTAGATCTGGAATTACTGGTAAAGTGAAACGTTCTGTAGACTTAACTGTTTCCAACTGTATTGCAGCAAGAAGTCTATGTGCCCCAGGACCCTGGGTCACCTGAGGAAGAAGACATCAAGGAAAAGAAACCCACCAGTCAAGGAAAGTCAAGCAGCAGGAAGGAAACGTCTAAAAGAGATAGCAAGGAGAAAAAAGACCGAGGGGTGACAAGGGTAAGAGGACTTGTGAATCTGCTCCCTTTTCACCACATAATTACAGATTAAAAGAAAAGAGTCATAGACAGACGAGGTCTGGGTTTGAGGTGTAGAGTTACTAAAAAAGCAGGCAGTCCACTAGCCTCTTACAGCCTGTCGTCACTCTCTTTTCTAAATACAGAAACTGTGGATGGTGGAACAAAGTGGCTCAGCTCAAACCCCAATACCTCAGCTCCACACAGTTTCACTTTCCTACATCCCTTTTCAGTTCTTGACTCCGTATACACATTTCTATAGGTGTAATTGTAGCAGGGGATACCATTTTCTATTCTTTATTCACTTTATATTTGATCATAAGTATTTTTTCATGTTTGTATAATACTCTTTATTACTTCCATGCCTGTATGGTAAAAATTTGTAGTAAAACTGTGACCTTGTTTTCTTCATCATTCCTACATTGTTTGTCTCCTCTTTCTAATCTTATTCTGTTATAATATACAGCATTTAGCATTTTATTTTTTCTTTTTTAAATTACTTCCTTAGGATAAATTTTCAAGAACAAAGATGATGAACATTTTTACATTTCCTGACATAAAATCAAATTATTTTCCAAAGAATTATATTGATTCACCCTGACACCAGTTATGCATTAATGCAAATGGATGAATTAGCCTGTGGCTTAATTCATAACTTGTCTTTTTTTTCCCCCCCTTCTAATACTACTAGTGTTTATGCAGATACATATATATAGAGAAAGAATCTGTCTGAGAACTTTTTTCTTCTAATTTTATTGTGATATAAACATACAGCACTGTATAAGTTTAAGGTATACAGCATAATGATTTGACTTATATACATGATGAAATGATTACCACAGTAAGTTTAGTGAACATCCATTGACTCATAAAGAAACAAAATAAAAGGAAAAAAATGTTTTTTTCCTTGTGATGAGAACTCTTCAGATTTATCCTCTTAACAGCTTTCATAAATAACATACAGCACTGTTCATGTCTAGTATTTATGTATATTATAATTGGAAGTTCTTACCTTTTGACCACCTTCATCCAATTTCCCCACCCCTACTCCCACCCTGCCTCTGGTAACTACAAATCTGATCTCTTTTTCTTTGAGTTTGTTTGTTTGTTTGGGTGTTTTGTTATGTTTTTCTTTTGTTTCCCTACAACACTATGTTAGTTTTGGTTCACAACATAGTGATTCAAAATTTCTATACATTACAAAATGATCACCACTGAAAACTTAGACTTTAAAGTTATACTGGCTTAATATGTGGGGGGTTTTTTGTTTTCTTTATAAATTTATTTATTTTCATCTGTGTTGGGTCTTCATTGCTGCGTGCGGGCTTTCTCTAGTTGCGGCGAGTGGGGGCTACTCTTCATTGCAGCGCGCAGGCTTCTTATTGCGGTGGCTTCTCTCATTGTGGAGCATGGGCACGCAGGCTTCAGTAGTTGTGGCACATGGGCTCAATAGTTATGGCTCATGGGCTCTAGAGCATGGGCTCAGTAGTTGTGGCGCACGGACTTAGTTGCTCTGCGGCATGTGGGATCTTCCCAGACCAGGGATCAAACCCATGTCCCCTGCATTGGCAGGCGGATTCTCGACCACTGCGCCATCAGGGAAGCCCCTGGCTTAATACTTGGATTCTGCTTTTGCCCCTTATTCTTTCTAACCATATTCTCAATCATTTGTAAAATGAGCATATTAATGCCTATTTAGAAGGATTATAGTAAAGGCTGAAGGAGAAAATGTATATAAATGCATCATCTGGTGCCTGACATATAGTAATCACTCAATATATACTAAATGTGATGTTTTTAAAGTTTTTTTTTTTAATTTTGGAATCATTATAGTAACATTACAGATACTTCACAAATTAAGAGGCTTGGAAAATCAGACTCATTTCAACAGGGTTAACTCTAAACCCAGCTTTTATAAGTATCATATAAAAATTATCTGGGATTTTGATCAGTTTCAGGAAAATGCCAGTGAGGGGACAGCTCCCCCAGAAGATGTCTTTAAGAAGCCTCTGCCTCCCACTGTGAAGAAGGAAGAGAGTCCTCCACCAGTAAGGCTAAGCTGATGCACTGGGCTAGGGCTGGGGCTGGTTCCAAATGGGAAAGGAAGTTCAAAGGTTGATGCCTCACTTTGGTGTTGGTCCTTTAGCTCTCTGTGTCTCACAGACAAGACTCTTCTTGAGTATAAGCATGAGGTAAATTTTCCTGTCTGCTAATAGGGGTATTGATGAAGAATCAGAGGCAGTTATCTGTCCTCTTTCCCTCTGCCTTGTGACATTCCCACCAGACTGGCCCTTTTTAAGTTAGAATCTCGGTCTTGTTAATTCTTCTCTTCTAAATGACCAAGGAAACCCATTTTCCTGGCCCTGATGTTTCCTACCTTTTGGTGCTGCATGAGAATCTCTTAGATGTCGAGTGCATGCATGGTCATTTTTATAGTTTGCCTGCCAGAGTGAACAATGCTAACACTCGTACCCATTTTTTAGATGCCTTTAAGTGATAGTGTCAATCTAATCACAAGTTATTTCGACTAAATATAAATATATAACAATAGAGACCCTCTGTTTGTTTTTATTTTGATTGATCATATGCCAGTGATCATGCATCATTATTTAACATTTCCTATAAGCTACTGATAAATACTTTTTGCCTGCTCTACATTATTGATTCAGTTCACTATAACATCTGTCCTAACCATGCCTTTGTCTTTACCTTACTCAGGAGCTGAATCTGTCTACCTGAGTGTTTATCCTTCAGTTGCTTTTAGTCCATCTCCTAAATCTCTTTTGCTCTAGGAGTTACTGTAGCCTTGATGAAAGTTATCTTTCCTTTTCTCCATGGGTTACAGTGACTTGGAGGTGGTTGCTATCTCTGCCTCTTCAAAAGTAACTTATAACTTTTAAACTCTCCCTGTGGTCTCTGTCAGTTTCCCTTTCTCTTCCTTCTCATCACTGTTCTGTTGCTAGAGTCACTCCTAAGGGAAACTTTCTGGCTTATCTCAGTGGACAAGGAGACAAGTCAAGCTCGAGCCATGTTGCTTCCATCTGGGAAATGAGCAACATGGTCAGTGGGCCTATTTTGAACCCAGTTCATTATTCAGGCTAAAAGAAATGAGATGCCCATATCAGAATATCCAGAAAACAGGCCCCAAATATAGGTTGAGTTTGCGTTAATCCCTGGCCTTCTCCTACCAGCCTAAAGTGGTAAACCCACTGATCGGCCTTCTGGGTGAATATGGAGGAGACAGTGACTATGAGGAGGAAGAGGAGGAGGAGCAGACCCCTCCTCCACAGCCCCGCACAGCACAGCCCCAGCAGCGGGAGGAGCTGACCAAGAAGGAGAATGAAGAAGACAAACTCACTGACTGGAATAAACTGGCTTGTCTGCTCTGCAGAAGGCAGTTTCCCAATAAAGAAGTTCTGAGCAAACACCAGCAGCTTTCAGACCTGCACAAGGTATTAAGGGAAGGGCCCTGACCTTTCGAACTTTTGACTCTTTATCACTGTTGAGCATTACAGTGACTAAAGAAGCTTATGCTGTCCTCCTCAGCCTGTATCTTCCCCAACTCCTCTAATTAAATCAGTTTAATTCAAAAATGAGTTGCTGGGACTTCCCTGTGGTCCAGTGGTTAAGACTTCGCCTTCCACTGCAGGGGCCGCAGGTTCGATCCCTGGTTGGGCAACTAAGATCCCACATGCCATAAAGCGCGGCCAAAAAAAAAAAAAAAAAGACAAAAATGAGTTGTTCCTCCACCTTTTGTTCATGAGTTGCTCTGCATTAAGATGGTGCCCACCTTCAAAAAACTTCAGGGTGTAGACCCAAGGCAAGCATCATGGCTGTGGCTGGGGCACCAAACATGGAAGCTGTGCTGAAGACAGGAGGAGAAGGGGTCGTGGAAAAGGAAACTCACCTGCTGGGTTTCTCATCTTAGCTCTACCATTAACCTAACAGTTGGACTTCAGATAAGGTCCTTTTCTTCTTTGATACTTGGTGGCTTCACCTGGTTCCATCTAGCTCTGACAGTGTGTGGTTTTCCCCAAGCGTGAGTCACATTCTGCCATCTCTTCATGTAGTGAGTTTTTGCTATAAGCCATGGCACAACAACTATTCTTGGGGTGTTAAACTGACATACATTGGTCCTCCCTTGCAGTCTTCTCATTTATATGTACTGGCCAAGGAGCCAAATTCTGGACAAGTAAGGCCCCTAGATGGACTCGTGTTCTCAGTATAAAGTAATTTCTTTCACACTCCTTTTCTAGCAGATGTTGCTAGAGCACGTGAGGGGATTAGATTTAGACTTTCTCTCAATATAAAACCCCAAGTCTTATGTAGCTAAAAGCTGAAAAGCTCTGCTTTGATGATAGGCACACCTCTTCTTCCAGCTGCCTCTGTTGAGGCTCTGCAAAGTTTCTAGGATTCTGAGAGGCTCCTTCTGACAACCCCTGCAACAGACTACCTCCAAGTTCCTTTGACCTTCTGGAATTCTGAGTCATCAGACAAAACATTTAAAATTCAGCTCTCTTATGAAAGTGCTAATAAATTGCTGAAGAGATTAAAAAGTTGTTGTCAGGAAAGAGGAGCCAGAGGTCTGATGAATCCACAAACTGAACTAGCCCTGGGACAGTGGAACGTGGACTATAGCACTTTTCCTTTCCTTGCAGTAATCCAATGCAAAGAATCCCCTTTCTGTACAAGAGCTGCTCTGGACACCTTAAGTTTCTTATATATGCCAGAAGGAGCCACACTTCAGGAGTGTAGGACCCTCAAGGAGTACAGGACTCTCAGAGAAATCTGTTCATTTGTGACCTTGGAGTTCCTTTTCCTGTTTCTCTGTGGGCTTGAATAGTGCCCACAGAGAATAGCATCTGAGGATGGCAGGTGGTAGTGGTGGTAGGCAGAGCATGTGGGCATTTGGTTTTCTTCACTGGTGTAGTCAGATTCCCCTCTCCCATTTTTACCTTAGGTAAAGAGATATAAACCAGATTTGTGTCTTCTACACTTTGGAGAGAAGTAGGATAAAATTCTGTCTTGTGCCACAACATGTAACTAATCTATGTGACAAGCCAGTGTTAGAACCTGGGTTCCCATTGGTGAGCCTAACGCAAGACCAGTTAGGGATTGTTGCTTGCATGGTGCCGTGATCACTTGGGAGAGTTGGTCAGTGAAAGGAGCTACAGTCCTAGAGCAGCTATCAGGAAAGGCCTAGAGCATTTCTAGGACCACTTTTTTTAGACCTACACTCATAGAACTCCCTCTCTTCTCAGCAAAACCTGGAAATCCATCGGAAGATAAAACAGTCTGAGCAGGAGCTAGCCTATCTGGAGAGGAGAGAACGGGAGGTAAGATTTGGTGACTTGTTACTCCCTTGACCCCCAACTCTTTTTACTTTCTGGTGTAGCATTTGTAGGCTGTGCTGAAGATAAAGAACGGAGAAGCCCCAAAAGATGGTGTATATATTTTTCAAAATTCATCAAACTACATTAAAGTGGGTACATTTTATAGTTTATAAATTATACCTTAATAAAGTTGCTTTTTTTAAAGGTGATGTTAGGGTCTTTGGGTAGGTGAAATAACATTCCTCCTTCCTGCCCAGCTTTTAAAATCAATGAAGGAGCGTTGGATAGGGCTGCTGAAATAGCATCTTTTACTGTTAAAGGCCAAGTTGGAGGAAGTAGCTTAGAGTGAGAGCCAAATGGACTTGCTATCTAGACCAATTAGGCAGACTCACTTACCCAGCTACAGGCTTCACTGGCCCATGACAGGTCTTATGTGACGGTCAAGAATCCACCTGTGGAGGCGTATTGGAGAGCACCTCCTCCTCAGAAGAGGAAAAGATAGCCTCTTCTTCCCAAATTTACCAGTTAGAGAAGCCACTACTTTCTCAAGAAGAATGTTTGAAGGAATGAGAGATTCCAGGAGTTACCAGTTGAATCCCTTCACATTAGAAGAAATATCGGGAATAAAGTGAAGCGTTCGCACTCTCCCACCCCCTCAGATGGGAGTCTCAGATCTGTTCTTCTGCTTACCAACAGGGAAGGTTTAAAGAAAGAGGAAATGATCGCAGGGAAAAGCTCCAATCTTTTGATTCTCCAGAAAGGAAACGAATTAAATACTCCAGGGAAACTGACAGGTAAGCTAGAAACTCTTCACTCAGCCTAGGTCTCAAGCCTAATGATGAAACCATCACTTTCTCTAACATGCTGCCTTTTTCTCTCTCGGGGAGTGAGGTTATCAGGAGCAGGTTCTGTCTGAACTCTTGAGCATGAAGTTCACCCCAGCCTTTTTACCACCTGTCTTAACACAGGGAATATGTATGTTTGCATGTAAGAATCACTGGCTGCTTAGCTGCTCAAAACCAGGGCTGGAGTGGCTATAGTTGGGAACCCTTTCTCTCCTCATCAGTAACACTGTACCTCCGTATTAGCCTGATAAGAATGTCACACTCTTGGACTTTTTTCTCTAGGGAACCTCCATTCTCACACATTAGGTGCTGAATAAATGGTTGGCTGCTGATAGAAATATATGATCTCTAGCTTCCTGTGCTTGTTTCTAGTCAGAGAGCTCCCAAGTTGTGAGTCCGGAGTTATACAGAATTTGCTGATAGCCCACTGTGTACAGATACTGCACCAAGGGCAAGGAATATTCATGTGGACAAGACACGTATTATCCTTGACTGTCTGAACAGAGAATAGGAAGGCTTAGGTGATACTTTGTCTTGTAGGGCAGACACAGAAATCCGGTGGAGAAGGGGAGGGCATTTCAATTGGAGGGAACTGCATGCTTCATGGATGAAAGAAAGAGAGGTCATGATGCATTTGAGAAGTTGTAAGTAGCTTGATGGGCTGAACACTGAAGATAAGTGGTTGAGTGACAAGGAGATGAGGCTGGCTCAACAGACACAGTCCAGTTCTTGAAGTTCATGCTCCTTTAACACCTTGCTAAGACTTTGTCTTAGGGCAGTGGGAGGTTATGAAATGGTTTTAAGCAGGGTATTGATCTAGTGAAACTTGAACAAGTCTCTACATTGGTAAGCAAAAGAACTAGTAGCCAGGGTAGAGTATGCCTGTGGGGAAAGGGGAGATGATTGATGGAGAAAGACCCCTAAGAAGTCTAGATGGGGTCTGGGGTTCTGGCGTTCCAACTTATTTGTTCACAGCCCTCAGTAAGAGATTATTTTGAATCATGGCCCAGAATATATGTATGCGTGTAAATAACTGAAAAAGAAATCTTCATGAAAAATACTTCCTTACTGTGCAATAAACACTGACATTTTTATTTTAGTCTATTCTATTCGCATTTGTAAGAAGTGCTAAGTTGGGACCACTTAATCAATGTAGCATCCCATTGGGTCATTCTCTGCAATTTGAAATACACCGAACGATGACAAAACTGAAGGAGTCAGCCAGGAGGAGGAAGAGCACCTTAGCCCTGAGTCAGTTGGGTGTAGCTGGGTGTAGAAAGAGATGCCTCTCTATTCTCAGCACCCATCACATCACATTCTACTGGCTCTCCTCCTTCTAAGACTTCTCTCCTGCTCCTCTTCCTTTTCTGGGTTATTCCAGATATTCTCCAGGACTCTGCCCTCAGTTTTCCTTTATTCTTGCTCCTCCATCCTCTTGACTTGGACTGCCTACGGTACCCAAGGCTTTAGCCACCACTCACAGGCTAACAAGTCCTATGGCTCCATCTCAAGTCATTTCTGTTTTCTGAGCTCAAAAATCATTATTTCTGTTTACCTTCTGGGCATATCCTCTTGGCCACTCCTCAGCCTCCTCACACTAAACAATTACTCAATATTATATTCCACATTATTTTCTAGTCCAGTCCTGCTAAACCTGCTGTATTCCTATTTCAGAGTAGTAACATCATCGCATCATGGTCTACCTGGTCTGTCCCAATCTTCCTCCTTTATCCTCTGTATCGTTAGTGGCCACATCCATAATTAAGCCTTGCCCCAATTCCTAGCTTACCTCCAAACTGGACTGGTTACTCCCCATCTTTGCTCTTCAGTCTTTCTACCCTACCGCCAAAATGACTTTTATAAACAGAAATCTCCTAAAACTAGCCTTTTTGTGAACATATACCTTGCCTAAAGGGAGGCCTGGGTTCTAGAGATTCTTTGCCTGAAGTATGAAGTACAGAGTCATGATTTAGCATGATGTTCAAGGCTTTTCACAATCTGGCTCAAGCAGCCTTTTATCAATTCCTGCCACTCTTCCTCTGGACAAATTGTATTCTTTCACTTCTCCTTGCTTGTGTCCTCCTTTCCTCCCATGCTTTTTCTAGCTCACAAGCTCCTCATTTGTTAAGACCCAGTTCAGGTATACCCTCCTGTTAGAATTCCTCATTTTTGGTGATGCCCCTTCAGGTTTGTGTTCCCTGTTTGTATTTCCATAGTAGGTATATACTGTTGCTACATCCATGGCTGAGCTCTTCAGTGTGCTGTAAGCATCTGTTGACATATTATCCTTCTCACATCCTTCCCCATGAACAGAGTCAGGTCTTGGTCATCTCTGTATCCCCAGGACAAAGCCAGTTTCATAGATAGCAGGCACTCAAAGATACTGTTTAATATTCTTAAGAGGAGGCAAATCTGAATCAAGAGGACAGAGGTTTTTATTGGGCTCACAAGCATGTCACTTTGAAAGTGCTGGTGTCTAAGTATGTATGTTTCTTTTGCAGTGATCGTAAGCCTGTTGGTAAAGAAGGCATCGACAATAGCAGCAAAGGAGGCTGTGTCCAACAGGCCACTGGCTGGAGGAAGGGGGCAGGCCTCGGATATGGCCATCCTGGATTGGCTTCAGCAGAGGAGGTGAAATGGTTTCCATCTTGTTAGGGGTGGCATGAACCTGGCATATACTTAGTTTCCTCTCATTCTGTGGCCCAGAGCTATGTCCTTGCCTATTAGCTGGGCTTTCACCACTGCTGGCAAAGAACGTGAGAGCTGAGAAGCCTGTCAGTCTTTTTTTTTTTTTTTTTTTTTTAAGAAGATGTTGGGGGTAGGAGTTTATTAATTTATTTTATTTATTTTTGCTGTGTTGGGTCTTCGTTTCTGTGCAAGGGCTTTCGCTAGTTGTGGTAAGTGGGGCCATTCATCGCAGTGCACGGGCCTCTCTTGTTGCGGAGCACAGGCTCCAGACATGCAGGCTCAGTATTGTGGCTCACGGGCCTAGTTGCTCCGCGGCATGTGGGATCCTCCCAGACCAGGGCTCGAACCCATGTCCCCTGCACTAGCAGGCAGATTCTCAACCACTGCGCCACCAGGAAAGCCCCGAAGGCTGTCAGTCTTTTTTTTCTTTTTTTTACATCTTTATTGGAATATAATTGCTTTACAATGGTGTGTTAGTTTCTGCTTTATAACAAAGTGAATCAGTTATACATATACATATGTTCCCATATCTCTTCCCTCTTGCATCTCCCTCCCTCCCACTCTCCCTATCCCACCCCTCCAGGGGGTCACAAAGCACTGAGCTGATCTCCCTATGCTATGCGGCTGCTTCCCACTAGCTATATATTTTACGTTTGGTAGTGTATATATGTCCATGCCACTCTCTCACTTTGTCCCAGCTTACCCTTCCCCCTCCCCATATCCTCAAGTCCATTCTCTAGTAGGTCTGTGTCTTTATTCCTGTCTTACTCCTAGGTTCTTCATGACATTTTTTTTTTCTTAAATTCCATATATATGTGTTAGCATATGGTATTTGTCTTTCTCTTTCTTTTTTTTTTTTTAACATCTTTATTGGGGTATAATTGCTTTACAATGGTGTGTTAGTTTCTGCTTTATAACAAAGTGAATCAGTTATACATATACATATGTTCCCATATCTCTTCCCTCTTGCGTCTCCCTCCCTTCCACCCTCCCTATCCCACCCCTCCAGGCGGTCACAAAGCACCGAGCCGATATCCCTGTGCCATGCGGCTGCTTCCCACTAGCTATCTACCTTACGTTTGTTAGTGTGTATATGTCCATGACTCTCTCTCGCCCTGTCACAGCTCACCTTTCCCCCTCCCCATATCCTCAAGTCCATTCTCCAGTAGGTCTGTGTCTTTATTCCTGTCTTACCCCTAGGTTCTTCATGACATTTTTTTTTTCTTAAATTCCATATATATGTGTTAGCATACGGTATTTGTCTTTCTCTTTCTGACTTACTTCACTCTGTATGACAGACTAGTCCTGGGTCCCATGAAGGGCCTCACCCCTCATGTTTAAGGAAAAGAAGAGAAGATAGAAAAGGTGATAAGAGGGAACCCTCTCCATTTTGTGTTGTCTTAGTCCTTGTCTGAAAATGCCACATATATGAGATGGGCTTCTCACATTTCTGGTGTTGAATCCTGTATCCTGAAATCATGGCACCGCCACCCTCCTTATTCATCTTGAGTGTTTGTTTATTAAGCATTCTTTAAAAATTCTCCTATATCCTGCTCCTTACTAGTCCAGAAATGCTTATAGTCAAAGACCAGCCCTGAGGCTAATTAATTCATAGAGCCCACTTCATTGTTTGTCTTTGTTTTACAGACTGAAAGCCGGATGAGGGGTCCCAATGTGGGAGCTCCAGGAAGAACCAGCAAGAGACAGTCCAATGAGACTTACCGAGACGCTGTGCGAAGAGTCATGTTTGCTCGGTATAAAGAACTCGATTAAAGAGTGGAGACAAGTCCCACAGGACACAGCCTCCTTCTTGTTTTGTTTGTCCGTCTCTCCTTTTGTTTTGTTACTGTTCTTGCTGCTAGAACTTTTTTAAATAAACTTTTTTTCAATGTGACTTCTTTTGGTGGTTAAATTTTTCTCCCATGGGTGGGGGGGTGGGGCTAATGGTAGAAGGAAGAGAGTCCCTTGGTGTGGGCCCATTTGAGGTGATGCTGAAATGGCAACAAGGGCTGTAGTGAGCCCTGGAACAGTGCCTGCTATCAGTGTGAGTGGACTGGTTGCAGTGACCGTTGAACTCTGGCTTGTACGCATACTGTCAGATTTTTTAAAATTATTTTCCTAATCTAATTAGTGAAAATAGCATCACACATTATTGTAACTGCTAAGGCTGAACATATTTCCATATGTTGGTTTACTAGTCATTAGACCTTCAGAAGTCCTCTTCTGACTTTGTTGGGGGACGGGGGGAGGCAGTGTTGTGACAGCTCTTTTTCTGAGTGTCTGCTGGATGTTCACTGCTTCACACATTGTGGTCACCACAGCAAGTTGGCATAATAAGAATTACCACTTCTCTCCAGCCACTGCCCCAGCTTTTCCTTTCCTCCATGGCTAGAACTCTCCAAAGAGATGTCTGCCCTCTTTCAAATCTTTATTGCCCACCATATCACTCATACCATTTCACAGAATTTGCTTCAAAAGTGAGTTTTTTGTGTGTTTTTAATTCTTTATAATTAAAAAGACTGCTATATCCTAGGCACCTATTAAAACTTTAAAAAATAATTTCTCAAGGGAACATATGGTACTAAGAATTGCACTTTTCAGGTATCTCAGGGGAAGAATGTTTCTTAGAACTGCATGTTTTGAAGAACATCTTGATTGTATAAGGTAGGGGTTTGTGAACTTTTCTGTAAAGAGCCAGAGAGTCAATATTTTAGACTTCATATTATAGGTCATATGATCTCTGTTGCAACTACTCAGCTCTTTTGTAGTAAGAAAGCAGCCACAGGCAATACACAAACAAGTGATTCTGGCTGTGGTCCAATAAAACTTTATTTGCAAAAACAGGTCGCATGCCAGAATTGGCCCAGGGGTTGTGGCTTTTCCCAACCCTTGGTCTAACGACATAGTCTGGATGCATAAGGCAGGACCAAGGAGGGTTTTGTAAAAATTGAGTGGGAGTATTGGCATTTTGGAGAGGATGAGCAGTGAGGGGTGGGAGAGGTAAGGAGAGGTGGGAGTATACCAAGGAGAAAACATTTCTAGCAACAGGAATGGTAAATGTGAATTTAAATTGTTTGCCATGCTGTGTCCATATATCCCTTTCTCTTAATCTTTAATATATCTTTTTACCCCTCCGAAAAAGGAAAACAAACAGGAGTACATTGGCTTAGGGATCAAAAGCCCCTAGTTCTGGGCCTTGCTACCACTAGTGCAGCATTTTAGAAGATGGGCTATTTGGATCTTTCAGCCCCAGACAGATGTACTCCAAGAGCCCTTCTGGTCTAACTGTTGGTCTGCAGGTGCATCTATGGTGTGTCCAATTACTCTCTGTCTGACCTTCACTGAATAGGTCAAAACATTTTTTGGAAGTTTCCAAATTTGTCCTGAACTGGTCAGACTAGGTTTTCCTCCTAACTTTGTGTCACCCTGTTTGGCCTAACCAGAGCTGTGAAACACATCCAATGCTTCAGTATTGAAGATCCTGTAGAGGCTACTTGGTTGACCCAGGTTATTGGCTGCCCAGCAGTAGCATCATCAAGTTATTAAGTGGTCATTGAATGTTTTGAAAGCCTACTTTACTTGTTACTGGGCTTATAGCAAGATCAGTGTGGGTCTCTGTGACCATGGGACTCAGTCCTCTGGGGAAGATGGACGTTGCACAATTTCTGATGTGATGAGAGATGCAAGGGAGAAGTATAGCAAGCTACTGGGATGGTATGACACGGACTTAATTCTCATTTGATGGCAGCAGCATCTTCTCTGATGTGTTTAAACTCAGACCTCCGGACTAGTTTAGGCCACTGCCTAGTTTTGTCTTGGTTTGTCTTCTGGTTTTATTTTGCCACTTTAGTGGAGATGTTATGGTTGGAAATAAGGTCTAAAGTATTTCATACATTTTTAAAGCAGTACTTTGGGTATTGTATGAAACTCAGAATGGGTGTGAAAAGTATGTCACCCTAAGATGTTCCTAGGAGGTTCCCTGAGGCCTCTGATCAGAATGCCAGCTACATAAGGGCAGAGATCTTGGGTAATTTTCTTCACTACTATATCCCTAGGGCCTGGCCCAGGGCCTAACACAGTTGGCACCCAATAAATGAGTGAATAATGCTGAACTCATAGGTCTATGGTAAATACTTGTTGAATTAAATTTTGATTGTATATCTCTCTCAGTTTAAGCCCATTTCTGACAAAATTAAATATTTTGGTTTCTTGGTATAGGCAAGAGTTCTCACGTTGTCTTTTTTTTTTTTTTCTTCCCCACATGAGCCTTTTTACTAATTCTAAAGCAGTAGTTCCCAGCCTGGGACCAAAACATGTGAACTAGTTTTTTTTCTTTTGTCAAGTGGTGAGAAATTAAGAAAAAGACCTAAGATCGTTTCATTAAGAGAACTTTTTTTTTTTTCCATCAAAAAAGTAGTAAAGGCAGGGCTTCCCTGGTGGTGCAGTGGTTGAGAGTCCGCCTGCCGATGCAGGTCACATGGGTTCGTGCCCTGGTCCAGGAAGATCCCACATGCCGCGGAGCGGCTGGGCCCGTGAGCCATGGCTGCTGAGCCTGCGCGTCCGGAGCCTGTGCTCCGCAACGGGACAGGCCACAATAGTGAGAGGCCCGCGTACCGCAAAAAAAAAAAAAAAGTAGTAAAGGCAAACTTAAAGGACTGTCTTCTATTCTATGTTGAACATCTGTGGCTTTCTTTAAAACAAAAAACCAACTCATTCTGTTGTCTTTGTTTTCCTTAATTGGCCAGGAACTTGTTAAACTTTTCCAGACTCACATCAGCTGCCAGACAGGCCTTTGGGGGCACAGCTCTGGAACTCAACAGGGCAGTGTCCACAAAGAAGGTCAGGTACCAGAGAATTTTGAGGATGGCATTTTGCTCTGGTGGAATCCATCTTTTTTTCTAGACACCTCCTTCAAGTATTTAAGAATGATTTTGTACCATTTATGAACGGCTATATAGCTTTTATGGCTGGTGACAAGCCCAGCCCAGCAGGCACCTCAGGGATGCTCAGAAGTGCTTGTTTAACTGCTTTGGAAATGAGCAGACTTCTAGTGACCATTAAGTCTAGCAAGTTCTGGGTTCTCGGCATCTGCATTATCCATTGCAGGGTTTGCAATGACCCATCTATATTTAAGTTTTAAATATCATTAAACTAATATTGGAGTTCCGAGGGTCACATACACTTACTTTATTCTGATGATAAAAGTTTTACATATATATGTGTGCATATATATATATACATATATATACACTCCCCCATAAGTTGGATATTATATACAGATACATACATACATATGAAAATGTAGAAAAATATGTGTGTGTAGGTAGTCTATGGTCTGAATGCTTGTCTTCCCCCACAACCACCACCAACACCTAATCCCCACAGGTGATGGTATTAGTAGGTGAAGTCTTTGGGAAGTGATAAGGTCATGAAGACAGAGCTGTCATAACTGGGATTAGTGCTTTTATAAAAGAGATCCCACAGAACTCCCTAGACCCTTTCACCATGTGAATATGCAATAAGAAGTTTGCAGCCTGGAAGAGGGCTCTCACCCAACCATGCTGGCACCTTGATCTTGGACTTTGCAGCCTCCGGGGCTGTAAGAAAAAATTTTCTGTTGTTTACAAGCTACCCAGTCTGTGGTATTTTGTTATAGCAGCCCGAACAGACATAGGTAGGTAGGTAGGTGGATAGATAGGAAGATAGAAATAGAGATGAGGAGAGAGAGAAAAGTTACCCATTATTCTAAAATCCAGAAATTCCTACCTTTCCATCTATTGTCATGTTTTTAATTATCCAAAGAGTTTCCAGTGTCAGTCACTTAATGCCCTCGACGTAGAAGGATAAGCCATAGTTAGAACATGTTTAAAGATGCTTTTCCAAGGAAAAGATTTTCCAGTATATCTGGAGCTTCTGGTTTGAAATCTCTTTGACGTCCTTCTACTTATTCTTTTTTTTTCTTTATTTTTATTTTATTAATTTAATTTTTGGCTGCCATTGGGTCTTAGTTTCGGCACGTGGGATCTTTTGTTGCGGCGTGTGGGTTTTCTCTCTCTAGTTCTGGCGTGCGGGCTCCAGGGCACGTGGGCTCTGTAGTTCGCGGCACGCGGGCTCTAGTTGAGGCGCGCGAGCTCAATAGTTGCAGTGTGCGGGCTTAGTTACCCTGTGGCATGTGGGATCTTAGTTCCCTGACCAGGGAACAAACCCACATTCCCTGCACAGGAAGGTGGATTCTTTACCCCTGGACCACTAGGGAAGTCCCCCTTCTACTTATTCTTGAAAGATTTCTTTTTATCCAGAAAGAAAAGAGTATTAAGTGTGGTTTTCCACATCTAATATCTTCCTCTGCCTTGTCATGGTCTAATTATTCAATCTGTATATGTGACCTGAAAAATCAGTTCCACTAAATCTATATCTATAAATAATGCCAGTGGGCAAGTTATGCTAACTGGATACATAGAAATACCACCATATGACTGATGAGTGAGCGTCCAAAATATCTCTCTGAATTGCTGAAGGATCCCTGGTTCTTTCTGCCACAAATGTTGCACTTTTAGCTTTGGTAGTGGATTCATTTGTTCATTCAACAACTGAGTGCATCCCATGTGCCTGGCAGCAGTAGAGGCACTGGGGATATAGTAGTGAACTAAACAGACAAAAGTCTCTCTCCTTCTGGAGTTTACATTCTAGTGAATGAGGGCGTGGACTCAAATTAAACTTAACTAGTTTAAATCCCAGTTCCACCACTATAGTTTGGAATCTATAGTGCGACATGTTAGTGTGACCTACTCTCTAAAACAAGGACAGTGATAATAGCTTTAACTAAGTGAACGGCAGTTGAGCCAGCTAGAAGTGGTCAGATCCAAGATATAGTTTAAAGGTAGAGTCAACAGG